ACTTGGTCCACGGCCCCCTTAGGGTAGGACCCCACAGGACGGCGGTAAACGGTTTGGGAAGTTGGGAGGCAACTTCCGAGACCCCACATACGGATATTGCCGCCGCGGAAGTCGTCGGCCGACCGTTTCCACTTGGTCTGTGGCCCCCTTATTCCTATGTGGCCCTGAATTCCCGTTTTCCAAAAGTCGGTCCGTTTACCTACCTCCCGGGTGCGTACTCCGGCACATGCGGACGGAAGTCGCAGCCCTTCCATTACAACCAATGGCAAGGGACCTGGAATAGCCTTCCAGGTCCCGACCTTTCCCAAAATGGAAAACTGCCCCAGAATTTCCTTTTTGGGTGATCGCCTCCGAAGCAAGAGCAACAGTTCGCGGTGGCGGTGGGGTCCCCTCTGTTTCATCATCTCCGTTGGCGGTGGGCAGTCGGCTGCAAGTCGAAGACTTCCGAAACCGTTTGCCGCCCTCTTGTGGGGTCCTACCCTAACACTCTTCGAACGACCATTCCGAGGAAACATCTTTTCCGAAGGAATTCCTGTGGGGCACCCCACCTCTGTTTCATCATCTCCGTTGGCGGTGGGCAGTTGGCTGGAAGTCCAAGACTTCCGAACCGTTTGCCGCCGTCCTGTGGGGTCCTACCCTAACACTTCGAACGACCATTCCGAGGAAACGTCTTTTCCGAAGGAATTCCTGTGGGGTCCGGGTCTCAATTTCATTCGCCTTCGCCATACCGCTGTGGCCTGGACGTACTTCGGCCAGAGGCCAGCTAAGCGAACTTCTGTCATCCGTTCGATCGTTTGGTTGTCCATCTAACGGCTGTGTGCCCAGGCAAGAAGCGTCGCCGAGCTGGACTCGTAACAGGCCCACCCATTCCACTTCGAGCCTTGCACTTCGAGCCGCGGCTGTCCCATCTGGCGTGGCCGGGACGGTGTCTGATGAGGCCTGGCTTGCATGCTAAGCGGCACTGCTCCGCGGCCCGCGTCGCCACGGGCCATGTCTTCCCGCCTGCTTCTTCCTGTCTGCTTCGCCGCGCACCTACCAGTAGTTCCGCTCAGCATGCCCGGGTTGAGGTCCCACCAGCAAAGAGTAATTGGGTAAATATCCTGAATCTGGACGTGTTTTAACCAGAGATGCAGAAGATCAGTCTGATCTCGATTTTCTGCACTTTTCCACAAACAAATCCAGATTCGGTCGCTCAATCCAATCCTCTTTGCTAGTGGGACCTCGCCCCCGGTTGGTGCTCCCTCGCTATCACCTCCGTCGAGGACTGCCGGAAACCACCGGCAGGAGAGGACCCTTCGATTCGCATTCGCACTGAGATGACAGAATGTGGCGCGGATTGCGATCAGATTCTCCTCGCCGTCGGGAAGCTCTAATTACGTGCGGGAGAGGACTCGGCACACCGCCTTCGAGTAAGCGCGGGGCCGACAAAAGAACAGGGTTGAAAATTCATTCAGTCTGCTCAATTGACCTTTTGTCGGTCGGCGAAAAAATGCGCGCGCGTTTGTTTAGCTGTTCGTATTAGCGATTGTGTGGTCCGGCTTGGTGGGAGTCACACTTTTGTCGACGGGGCCCGCCCGCCCTTCCTCCGAGCTGGTTCTACGTTACTTGGCCTGTGTTGCCCTGGTTGCCGTGTTTGACCGAATTCGATTGGGATCGATCGGTAGCAGTCTCAAGCTTGCGAGTGACCGATGCGGAACGATTGGGGTCATGAATTTAGCTTTACCGAACGGTCGACGAACAGCTGACCGATCTATCGGGTATTGATTACCCTATCAAGAAGCGGATCAATCGAGCAGTCTGTCAGTCAGCTGATTAATTAATTCTACTATCGACATCCCCTCGAATGCCGAGTGTTCGCGAAGACTAAGTCAGCTGATTCGAGCAGAAGCTGCAATCAACGACCTTGGGACGCGATTTCGTCTGGAGAGGGGCTTAAAGGAAACCCGAAGAGATACGTGGGCGCCGAACGAGGGAGCGCAGATACCAGAGCGTTCATTCATACATACATACAGAAGTACGAGAGAGAGAGAGAGAGAGAGAGAGAGAGAGAGAGAGAGAGAGAGAGAGAGAGAGAGAGAGAGTTGAAATAAGCGAAAGTAAGAGGGGGGAAGGGGGGGAGATAAACAGCTGCCAATAAAGCTTGCTGTAATCACAGGCAAGGCGGCATGTTTAGTCGTTTAAGTGGGTCGTTTGGAGCGGGATCGCATCAACCACCTCCACCTCCATCGCCTTCCCGCCGCGGGGAATATCTCCAGCCCGGGGGAGGAGCCCCTTACGGGGTTCCTCCTCCACGCGGATTACAACCCAGTTACGGGTCGCCGAGAGGCAGTGGGGGTTACTCCAATCCGTCTGGAGCAAGACCAGCCCATGCAGGAGCAGCGCCGGGATACGGACCGGGGCCAGCAGCAGCAGCGGGCTATCAATATGCAGCGTATGGTGGTAGGTACTCCAGCAGTGGTGGTGAGTACGGCGGATCGACCCAGTATGGTGGTCGAGGGAGTTATGCCAACGGTGCTTATCCGCAAGGAATCGATCCCGAGTACGTGTCGTGGTTCCGTGCCGCAGATCAAGATCAGAGTGGACGGGTGGATGCTAGGGAGCTGCAAGCCGTTCTCAGCCACTCTCCTTACGAGCCGTTTAACATGAGGACCATCGAACTCATGATGGAGCTGTTTGATAGACGACGAGTAGGTACTATAGGTATGTTCCGCTTTCCTTTTGGTTTTTAACCTGTGCCCTTCCCGACTTCTGACCCCGGTTATTTACTCCCTGCCCTCCTCCTGCTTACCCTGTCAATCTTCTACTCCCCATCTCCTACCCTATCGAGGTCTATTCTCATGTCCTGTCTGCTGACCTGTGTGCGTGGGACGGCTCTTCTTTGCCATTTTTTTTGGATGCACGTGTTTAGAGAGAAAATACGCATCGGGGTATATCGCGTGTCGCTATCGAGGTTGCCATGGGGGAATGGGAATCGTTCCGAAGAGGCATTCGGGCAACCCAGTCAGTCGTTTGGTGGTGTTTGGATGGGTGGGGAGAGAATATCGGTAAGAGGCCCAGGACTGAAGGCTCCGGCCATGACGAAGGGAAGATTACCATAGGTAGGTGGAGAGAGAGAGGGAGAGAGAGAGAGAGAGAGAGAGTATCGCCATCGTGAATAGGTGATACTATAATAGTGTCTTTGAAACAGAGGGTGACAAAGACAAAGGCCTTGGGGGGGGCAGAGAGAGAGAGAGAGAGAGAGAGAGAGAGAGAAGCTCCATCTACACGGAGAGAGTATTGCCCGCAGGTGGAGGGAGATGAAGGGATGGGTAGATATCTACATAGGTATGTGGATAGGTACGAAGATAGAGGTAAATACATTGAGGTTTGCTCCCATGATCGACGTGCTCCCTGTGAGTGCGAAAGCTCTCGCACAAGGGTTTTGTTTATTCGTTTTGTTACATATGGACCCTGTAGTGATGCCGATAACGCATCAGTTATGCAGTCATGATGAACGCTTTGATGTTAATCGTATTGACGACGTTGCGAATACGCAAATGTGATCTTGCGGACGAGGATATGCCACTGCTGCTGCTGCTGCTGATGATGATGATGATTATGATGATGATGATGACGATGATGTGCGGACATTGAATAGGCGTATTCATGCGGTCATCTGCCTGTCCTATTCCATGACATCATTTAAACGTGATCACGGATATGATGATACTGACTGAGGTAATTACAAATAACACAGTAATTGCTACTACAGTACACGCCGGTAATTATTAGGTGAGGAGACCGCATGGTCTTTTTGGAGTCGTACTTGTTGGTCATGGACAAGTTCGGAATGCATTCGCTCTGATATTGAAGGTGGTCGTCCGCCATGAACATTGGAGGCGGGGAGGTCCTCTTCCTCCTGTTTCTTCTCCTCGTCTCTTCTTCCTCCTCCTCCCTTCTCTTCCTCCTCGTCCTCCCCTTCCTCCTTTTCCTCCTGTTCCTCCTTTTCCTCCTCTTCCCCGTTCTCCTTTTCCTCTTCTTCCTCTTCTTCCTCTTCCTCCTCTTCCTCCTCTTCCTTCTTCTGCCCCTTTTCCTCCTCTTCCCCGTTTTCCTTTTCCTCTTCTTCCTCTTCCTTCTCCTCCTCTTTCTCCTCTCGCCCCTTCTCCTTTCCCTCCTCTTCTTCTTCCTCCTCTTCCTCCTCTTCCGGGTTGTCATCACCATCATTTCCGCGATGATTGTGTCTAATTGTTCTGCAGGTCTATTTAGACTGTGAAAATTTGAATCCGTTTTCTTGATAGCCTACTTTACTTCGCTGTTTCCTTTTTTTGTTTTACGTGCGGCTTTTAATTGCTTGTAATTATGACTTCTTGCATGCTGTGCCCTCTTCTCTGACTTGTGTCCTGACCTGGAGCATGGTGTGTTTCTTGAGCTCCCGTGATACCTAATTATAACCCCCTCGTCACACACGAACGAGAAGTTAACAGTTCTGATATTGCGCACAGTAAATGATGCTCAGCGGAGAATTACCTTTCACTTCGACGACGAAGTACTTTTTGCTCACTATGGGGACGAAGGATAGAGATGCATTCTTTGAGCCTCTCGCTGTAGGGGCGTTAAGTAAAAGATCACTGTCCGTTTCGTCTCACACTTTCCCGCCCTTTTTGACATTTTCCCGCCCTTTTTCACACTTTCCTACCCTTTTTGACATTTTCCCGCCCTTTTTTACACTTTCCCGCCTTTTTAGTTACTCGCTTTCCTTGCTGGAAAGATGGACTGGAAACGATTACAGCTGTATGAAGTTGGGATGTGTTCTCTGTCGTTTTTGGGCAAACGAAATAAGTAATGTTTGTTTTTTTCAACGAGTGCTTTCAGTTAAACCGGGAAAATTTCGCAGTTTCGCATTCATGATGGAGACATGAATGCGGAAGAGCGAGTGCGGACGGGCTTGTGCATACGTGCTTGTGCCTGCTACCATCAGTCGACCTACATAGCAAAACGATAGCGTCTTTCCGCCTCCCGCTTGATTGCCCCTCCGTCATTGCCCCACCGTCATGCCCATCAGGGCAGTCCTACCATCTTTCTCCGAAACGCCGCCACGCACACTCATCATGACTGTACAGGACCGGAAAAGTAGCTTGTATACAATCATGACTGTACAGGACTGGAAAAATAGCATGTATACAATCATGCGGACGAGAGTTCGTCCGCAGGATTGTATACGAGCTATTTTTCCGGTCCTGTACAGTCATGATGAGTGTGCGTGGCGGCGTTTTGGGGAAAGATGGTAGGACTGCCCTGATGAGCATGACGGTGGGGCAATCTGGTGGGAGGCGGAAAGCGCTTTCGTTTTGCTATATAGGTCAAATGACTATACCGGGCAACGTTCGCCCTCCACCCAGACGTGGAGGGTGAATGCAAAAGCCCGACAGACAGATTATGCATCTGGTCGTGCCTGTTGGTTGGATGATTAGGGATGACCTTAGGCCTCGTCTCGTCTTGGGGGGGAGAGAGAGAGAGAGAGAGAGTGGAAGGGAATGGTGCTTTGACGTGAGAAGGAGAAGGGAGGAATGAATGGAGGTTGGTTGGGTGGGTGGGATCAAAAAGGAGAAGGAAGAGGGAGGAGGTGGGTGAAGGAGAAAGTGGAGAAAGAATAGGGTGGGAAGAGAGGGGAGGGGAGGGACGCGAAGGAGGGGAAAGGAAGAGGGAGGAGGTGGGCGGAAGAGAAAGTGGGAAAAGAAAATCGGGTAGGAAGACAGGGGAGGGAAAGGGAGGTTAGGGAATTGGGGAGTAAAGGTGCGCGAGGAAAGTGAAAAGAAAAGTTGGACGCGGAGGGAAAGGAGGAGAGAGGGAGGGCATGGGTGCAGGGGCGGTTAGCTGCAGGAAGCGGTGGGTAGACGATTGATGCCCCGTGAACGGTGAGAGAGAAAGGGCAAGGGAAAGGAGTATGGACCTCGGGACTTGGTGAGGAGGAGCAACGACGTGGTACAAAAAACTAGCAACCTTCTTCACTCGAATAGAACGCCCGGTCGTTATCACTGTATCTGGACCACAAAAACTTGGCCCTAATCCAGCTATAATGACCGGGCGTTCTATTCGGGTGAAGACGGTAGCGTCAGGAAAGGGAGAGTAGGTGAGTGATGGCAGCAGAGGGAAAGAGGGGAGGAAAAGGAATATGGGAATGGGTGAAAAAGTCAGACTTAGGGCTTTAGGGAGGAAGAGAGCGGCGAAAAGGTAGGGTGCGCATTGGGGAACGGAAAAATGCTAGGATCCCACAATCCTTAGGGCCAGATCCCACTAGCCCCTATTGTTCATTTCTGACCGTTGATCTTCGTAATCGAGGGTGAAAAATGAATAATCCAGGGTAGTGGGATCTGACCCTTAGTAGGGGTACTTTCGGTAAAAAAAAGAAACCCCACACGTTTCCGCGGTGAGCGGGCAGAGAAAATAATTCGGCTGTTTCTTCTCTGGGCCTCCTCCGTGGCAGCACGGGAGAGAGTCGTGGCTGGTTTCGTGAACGAATTTCCAAAAGCTCCCTCCCCCTACCCCCTCCCCCTGAAAGTAGGTGCTTGTGCAAAATTGGGTTTTCTCTTTTTTCTGTTGTCGGTTCGTGGTCATTGGCCGTTGGATGTCCGTAGATGACGTTGGGACGGAGTGCATGTCGGCAAAATTTGTGGACAAGTGCCTTCCCCGTTGGGCCCATGGGATCCAAATTCGTTCTTACGAACCGGTTGGCGCAGACACGACTTTCAGGGTACTTTTTCGACTTTCTTAAAAACGCTCTGTGGGATCCAAGCCTAAAGTACTTATAGAGGAGGGGTAAGTGTGCAATTACGCCTTGACACTCGGCCCTCACTTCTTCGTGGAAGTCTTTTTGGCATCAGGGAAGGAAGTTTCACAAACGATAACAAAGAGAGCATCGCAAGAAAAAAGAAGCGCAGGAAATGCAAAGAAAAGTATGGAAACGAATACATATCAACAAAAGGGCAGAGAAAGGCATAAACAAGGAGGGAAAAATGCGAAGAAAAGAAATACGAATGAGAATTTGTACAGGTAAGGTAGAGAAATAAAACGAAAATGGGAGTAGCATAGAAAATAATGTGTGTCTATATCTACCAACTGGCTTAGCTCAGTTGGTACACCCTTAAAACTGTTGAAGTACAGACCTGAGTTCCAATTCCACTCGAAGCAGACGAAGCAGATGAATAAAGTACTGCCAATTTGAATTACCTAGGGCCGATCGGTTCAGCTGATGATATCTCAAGGCCGTTGGCCTTTCAAAAAAAAAGAGGAGGAAAGGAGAGAAATTAAAAAACAAGAAGGAAAGGAAAGGAAGAATAACAGGAAAAAAAGAAAAAGAAAAGAAAAGAAAAGAATATATCTAGATAGGGTGAAGAAATAAGATAAATGGAAGCAGTAGCAACAAAAAAAAACAAAAAACAAGAAAGTAGCACTAGGAACGAGAAAAGCGGGCACCCGAGCAGCTTACGTGAGCCCATCCTAGTAACTTTGGAAACTGGTTAGGAAAACCCAATAGGTAAGGTGAGGTAAGGTAAGGTTAACAGTAAGGTCAGGTAAGGTAAGGTTAACAGTAAGGTCAGGTAAGGTNAGGTAAGGTAAGGTTAACAGTAAGGTCAGGTAAGGTAAGGTTAACAGTAAGGTCAGGTAAGGTCAGGTTAACAGTAAGGTCAGGTTAACAATAAGGTCAGGTTAACAGTAAGGTAAGGTAAGGTAAGGTTAACAGTAAGGTAAGGTAAGGTAAGGTAAGGTAAGGTAAGGTTGACAATAAGGTAAGGTAAGGTAAGGTTGACAATAAGGTAAGGTTAAGGTTAGGTTGACAGTAAGGTAAGGTAAGGTTAGGTTTACAGTAAGGTAAGGTGAGGTAAGGTTAACAGTAAGGTAAGGTTAACAGTAAGGTAAGGTAAGGTAAATGTTGACAGTAGGTAAGGTAAGGTTAACAGTAAGGTAAGGGAAGGTAAGGTTAACAGTAAGGTAAGAAAAGGTAAGGTTAACAGTAAGGTAAGAAAAGGTAAGGTTAACAGTAAGGTAAGCTAAGGTGAACAAATCACAATGAATATGGGGTAATCAACCAACGGTTATGATGCGTACTGCGCGAACCAATCGCATGAGGATGGATGAAGGTGAGGTAAGGTAACGTAAGATGGACAGTAAGGTAAGGTTAACAGTAAGGTAAGGTAAAGTTAACAGTAAGGTAAGGTAAAGTTAACAGTAAGGTAAGGTACAGTTAACAGTAAGGTAAGGTACGGTTAACAGTAAGGAAAGGTTGACAGTATCCAATGTTTTGGACTAAAAGAAACCAAAGAAGCCTTAGGAGATCAGGTCTGAAGCCCTCGCAATCAACCAAAGAAAAGGGATACAAGAAGCGATGAGGAAGATTAAAAAATGCCAGCTGGATGAAAGGGGGTAGCAGCTGGTAAAGACCCACCAATTAAATGTAGTGAGGACGTGAGCGGATTATGCGGTTTACATGTTTGGCTTGCTTCCAAATTCTACAATCCGCATTTCGCTGTACCTCCAGACAAACGGCAATGACGGATATACAGTAGAAGCAGGTAATGTGGCTACCGTCTTCCCCGAACACAACGCACCCTCATCTTGGCTGTACCGGACCGGAAATATAGCTTGCATACGTTCAATTTCAGGGTGCGTTATGTTCGGGGGAAGACGGTAGTTACAGCTGGAGCTGAAGCTGGAGCTGGAGGTGGATACTAGAAGCCTCCCACTGGGTGAGATAAGAGGAGAAAAAAGTAATATGACTAGGTACAGGGGACCGTAATTGGGAGGAGCGTACGTGAGAGTATCTTTTGTAAATCTTACTGACTTGCCGGTGGAATAGGAACTGTACTGATGCTCCCCAGAATGGAAAAGGAGCCAGAACCATAAGGTTCTGTTTTTTTTTTTTGTTTTTTTTTTTTTTCCAGTGATTACGTACATGCCTTTTATTGTAGCATAGCGAGCAAGTGGAAGCAGGTTTTTGTAATCTATGGCGCTTGTGTCCGAATCAAGCATTGGAAGAAGCTTGCGGATTTTTCTCCATTGACTGACAGGACTACTTCATTGTAATTAGTCCTTCGACCTAGCAATTTCGCACGTAACGAAACTCTTTTCGACGAATGGGTGAATTATCGATTTCGCCGGATGAATGATCAATTTCGACAAAGACCAATGTTTTTTTTTTCGTGAGTTCTCACTTAAATGAATCCATGGTAACAAACGGTTTGCTTTTTCAATTTCGCCCAAAAAAAAGAGTCGTGTCACAAATAAAATAATAAACTTCGCTGTACAACTCTCACTTCGCTTAACTTTTGAAACGATTTCCATCAGTAGCGCACTCCTCTACTGATCGAAGAAAAAGTGGCAAAAAATAGAAGCCGCCCACTACCTCTCCCTCCCTTATTCCCAACACCTGTACGGCACTTCGCGGATCAGGGAGTGTAGTGCAGTAGGAGATGAGGCTATAGCAGAAGCGTGTCAGCGATGGGTCGCACAGTTCTTCAGCAGGGAGGCGATTGCACTATTTCAGCAGGTCAGCAGGGGATTCGGCACAAGTCAGCAGGCGATTCTTCTATGCCGCAAGCTCAGCAGGTGATGGCGTAGCGTTGGTTGGTGGGTTGAAGGCTGAGTACTGGGGGTTGAAGAATCGTGGTTGTTTGTGATCCATGAGCGTCAAGTCTTCGGAAGTAGCAGAGACTACTGGGCTTACAATTCCTGTAGACGATTGCACTACGTCAGCAGGTCAGCAGGCGATTCGGCTATGGCGCAAGCTCAGCAGGTGATGGCCTGATTGCTTACGGACCATCCGGTTTAGTGTTGGTTGGTGGGTTGAAGGCTGGGGTTGAAGAATCGTTGGTTGTTCACGATTGCGATCCATGAGCGCCAAGTCTCCGGAGGTAGCAGAGACTACTGCAGAAGTAGCAGGGAGTACTCCGCTTACGATTCCTGTTTTGGGCATCTTTCACAATCAATCAGGGAACTCCAGTTCTTTTGTACGCTGCTGTTGCAGCCTGTGTACTAGGTTGCCTTTACTGTGCTACGTGATCTCTTCTCAGTTTACTTACCTCACATGCACAACAAGCATGTGGACTTGGTTGCCCCGTGGTTCCACGGTAAAAGTTGTAAGACAAGCGAACATGACACCCCGATGACCGCCAACATGACGGGGTTTTGCTCTTTGAGCTCGTGCGAAGTAGACTTCAGAGTCTGCGGAGTTGAGAGGGCACGTTCACAAACATGAAAATTGCACCCTGCCAATTTCAAAAATCGTTCTTGCTTAAACCCCCAGTACCTCGCCTATACATGGGCTGCAGGCCCCTCTCTGTGACTTATGGAGGCCCGAAACCCGATCGTGGTTGCCAATGAAACTCATAAATGGTGGCCCGGCCTCGAAAGTTGTGGCCGCTAATGAGCCGCATCTCTGAAGAACAGCTTGAGACATGAGGCTAAGTTGTTGATGAAGCTACTGCACCTTTCAATGTGGCCTGCCGCTTTCACTACCGGTCCAGGCTCGAAGCCAAGTGCCCTTACTGTGTATATTGGTAGCAGCACTACTTAGGTTCGTGTGAACTGGTGGTGTGAGCCAAATTTAGACAAGCGGCTTAGAGGAACAGCGCAAACATGTGGTTGGAGTACTGCCCGCACTTTTGCAAATCTATTTTTTGGATCCGCCAACTTGCTGGGTGAAAGGAGTACTTGGATGCAGCCTGAAGGAATCGCTGGGTCAAAGGAGTACTAGTATGCAGCCTGAGGGAATGGCTGGGTCAAAGGAGTACTACCGTCTTCCCCCGAACATAACGCGCCCTGATAATGAATGTATGCAATCCATCTTTCCGGTCCGGTGCAAGCCATAATGAGGGTGCGTTGTGTTCGGGGGAAGACGGTAGTATGCAGCCTGAAGGAATGGCTTGGTAAAAAACCGGTACATCAACAGCAATGCGAAGTAGGACTAACCTGACTGGGTGCAATTGTGGAAGATTATGAAAAGATAAGAGAAAGTTGGATTTCATGGCAATGCCAACTAGGACCAACCTGCTGAATGTATTTTTTTTGGGAAGATTATGAGACAATTCAAAAAGTTCAGTCGTCCTGATGGATGCAGTTTCGGAAATTTATGAAAGGGTTCATTAAGTATAGCTGTGGCATGCACAAATCCCACACGGGCCCCGCAGGGCCCGTTGGTAGGGTTAGAGGTTAGCGGGCCAGTTTAGAGGCCAGGGCCCAGTGTCGTTTTGGCCCGTGCTTAGGGCGTGTAGGATTAGTGGGCCGGGTTAGGCCTGTTACGGTCCAGTCCAGGACTGGCCCCATTATGTGCGGTTAGGCCGTTGCAAGTCTGACACCAAGCCCTTTTTGGTTTGGGTGCCAGATTCGTGTCCTCCATATCTCCCTCCCCTCTTCGTCTCTTCTCCCGCCTTTTCATCCGTGGATGGTCCGGACTCAGCGCCGCTTCTATGACTGCCGCACCAAGTCCACTCACACATAGTGATGATGAGTGCTGTCAGGTCCTGTCATTGTCCCTGCTGCATCAGATCTTGGTATTTCAGTCTTCCGCTGTGCTATTTTCGTATTGTCTCCGAGAGGTCCATTCCTGGTTCTGATCGATGCCGATTAGGCATGCGACTTGGTGGTTCAGAATGTTAAGGTTTTTACAAGTCACTCGTTCAAAACGGTTAGGTCTTTCAAGGAGTATTTCGTTATTATTTGTGGGGTGCTGCGTGAACGAATAGCAGACCAGGTGCAAAATCTTTGCATCTTTACAGCGACGCTAATTGCTAGGAACTACGACCAACATGAAGTTGTTAGTAGAAAGCTGCCAGTGGTTCAGGCAGAGGCTAGTTTTTTTTGTGTGCATTCCTTCTTTCTCTCCTCTTTTTTGTCTATATTATTCCTCCTCCTGCTCTCTCAACTTTTACCGGACGTATATTTATGAACCACTGTATTGTATTCCACGTCCTTGCAGCGACCTGGATGCTCGGCGTCGTCGTCCTCGAGCGCCCCTTCTTGTCCTGGGTACGTCGGTTTTTGCCTACAAATCTGGTCATATCTGGCCTACTAACTCCTCCTTGGCAATCCTCCTTGGCAATCCTGTTGTTCAAGGCTCAGGACCTGGATGCTCGGCGTACTAACTCTGCAGCGACCTGTATTCCACGTCCTTGCAGCGACCTGGATGCTTGGCGTCGTCGTCCTCGAGCGCCCCTTCTTGTCCTGGGTACGTATATTTGAGCCTCGCATGGACCTTGCTTGAAAGCGGACCAACTTCAAACCCGGTCTGCTTTGAAAGGCTGTTCATTTGAGGGCCAATTACGAGTCTGGAGTGTGATGACCAATTGGCAAGAGGCAAGAGCTACAAGGGCGGCAGCGTGTGCCTTGCAGAAGTGAAGGGAATCATTCTCTCAAAAGTGCTAGCATGGGCAAGCCTGAGCTTGATGGAAAGTGCTGGAAACATCGTCATGTGGGAACTATTTCCATTTGAACCACCAGTACGCTCCCAACCATTTTTTCAAAGATGCGGCTTGCCTGCTGTTACAACTTTTGGGGGTCAGCTGTCGGATCAAAATGGCTCGTGGCGCCAGCCAAAACGAGGGCTGCGCCAGTTTTTTTTTTTTTTTTTTTTGGGGGGGGGGGGGG